TCCATCTTCAGTTTGTGTAGCACACCGCAAGAGCAGGGCCTGATTCTTGCTGGTACTTTCAGGTCTTCTGCATCTACCAATGTCAGTGGAAAAGATACTCAACTCCCATTAGGGACCTTTTAATACGAGGAGAGGCTGGAGAAGAGGAGGCTTGGGGGGATCTTGTCAATGTATAGAAACACCTACTGGGAGAGAAGTAAAGACAACCAAGCCAGATTCTTCTCAGTGCTACCCAGAGAAAGGACAAGAGGCAATGGGCACAAAGTGAAATATAAGAAATTCCATTTAAATGCAAGAAAAAAAATCTAAGAGTGTTACTGCGGTTTTACTGTAAGAGTGGCCAAACATTGGGAAAGGTTGCCCAGAGAGGTTGTGGAGTCTCTGTCTTTGGAGATATTCAAAACCCAGCTGGTGGTAGGCACAATTGCTCTCAGATTACTTCCCAGGACAAGCAGAAATGAAGAAAGGACTCATCCTTTTCCCTCTGACCAGGCTCAACAGCAAAAAGTAAGGACAAAAATGGCAAGGATGAACATTGGATATAAGGGATAAACCTGGTCTGTCCTTCTATCTCAGCTGAGAGAAGAACTTGGCTCAGACCTAACCACTGCTTTCCATCCTGGCTAGGAACATCTTCCCTTCTTGCATCAAGCTTAGACATGAAAAGGTCAGATGCCAAAGATAAAGAGCACCACTTTATGAAAAGATCGAAAGTAAAATCTTGTTCCAAATGAAGGTGGCAGAAGTTCTGCTAATATCTCAGGCACACGCGATTGAAAAATCCTTCCTGTCCTATGAGATCGTAGGCATCCATCCCACACTACCTTCTTCCCAAACTGCCACCTTAAAGCCATTTGGATTTTCTTCCCTCCCCTGACCTTTTTGAAAGGCTCTTTGCCTTGGTGGTCAGGTTCCTCTTCCAATCTGACCAAGCTGACACGTGGTCAGAGTACAAATCGCTTGTTCTGGGGCCAACATTGGTTTACAGCTAACATGGATTTCGTCTCCCCGCTGGTTGCCATCCCAGATGCGTACCGAGCAGACACAGCATCCCTCAGCCTATCCCACCCTGTTCCAGTCTGAATACGGGTGACTCAAGCTGTGCACGTTGCTCCAAAGGAGAGTTCAGGGGTATCCTGCACTGCCCCATTCGCATTTCCCAAGAAGTAACCCTCATAAATCCTCAGGTGGCTGCAAAAGTCTTTATGACTTTTTTTTTTTTATTAATAATGGTCTTAATTACACCCATCCCAGCTAAGGTGTGTGCTCTCCTCTGCCGCTGTGCAAGGGCAGCTCATCTGCACACAAAGTCACCATTGTGGATGGACAGAGCGTGGGGCTGGAGCCAGGAATTTATGAGGTCTTATCCCCAGCCTGCCAGTGGCCTTCTGTGTGGCCTTGGAAAAAGACACTTAACTGCTTTGGTTTTTTAGCTGTAAAATGGGAATAATAGTCTTTATTCATCCACCTCAAAGAGGCGATGAGAGGATTTTATGCAGCACTCAGGATTTAAATGTTTCCAAACAAATTTTATAATAACCAGTCAGGGTTTTTAAATCCATTCTCAGCTCATCTCTTGCCACCTCCTCTGCACTTGGTGATAGTGGTTGCTTTGCTTATTCCCCTGAGTATTCTAGAGCTAGCTGGATTACAGAGCTGTTACAACTAAAACAGGGCTAAACGGAATAATTTGCCCAAATGTTGAATTATATTCATCTCAGATGTATCTGCAGTTTCCAAAATTTGGAACCCATCTTCCTACTACTGAAGTGAAAAAGGCAGAAGCAAGCCAGCTCATCTTTCTCCCATTTAACAAAAAATGCACCGCACATACCCTGCTTACTTACTTGCAGTATCCCATCACATCAAAAAAGCCTCTGGCTTTGGGAGTCGATGTAAAGAAAACACAGAGAAATGCACAGTGGCTTCTGAAGCCACTGCAGATGCAGAGCAGCCTTTGCAGAACACGTTTACCCACCCTACTGGTGGAACTGATAAATGAGTGGGCAGCAGCCAGGCATGGTCAAAACCTTCACATCAACCCCTCTGGTACATCAGATAGTGTTGTGCCTTTGTCTGAAGTACTAAGAGAAAAGTGGGGAGTCAGGAAAGGGCTGGTAGCTCCATCACGCCTTCCCCAGACACAGCACAGCCACACGCTGTCCCCTTCTTGAACCCACCACCCGCCAGCGGCCAAGCCTGGAGCTCCTTGGGAAGTCGCAGCCTGCCATACCCTCAGTCTAAGCCCAGAGCTGATAACTTACACAGTGTTAATTCAGTAAAACAGTGTCAGATCTTTTGACTTTTGAAGTAATTTCAACATGCAATCACCAAGAGACAACGCCCGTTTTTCTACCTTACCAGGGCAATTTAATGCAATTACTGACACCTACTGACACTGTTGCCTGTGTTTGAAAATATTAAAAAATAAATACATTTCAAGGAATGGATACCTTCAAGCAAGAATCACTGAAAAGCTGGTTGCTATGCAACTCAAGTATTGTCCATATTATTCTTATCAACAGACGACATATTGTATAAAATAATATAATCCTCTTTAAAAACCCCACAATACAGTAAAAGGCTGTTCAGGGGTGGAGAACTGGCAACAGCCCAGAGAGCTGTCATAAACCTGATGTTGATTGTACATACATCAATTACAGAACCATAATGTAATTATTATGAATATTTGAATGGCACCCTGGGTAATAAATTGCCTACAATGAAGCAAATGAATCTGAAGATAGCATTTCCAAAGAAACGCTTACTCAAACAAGACTGGGATAATATTTTCACATTGTGAAGCCAACCAGGCTGCTTCATTCACGCCCTGCCTTAACTTGTACAGGCGCCCTTACTTCGAATACATATTCCTAAAAATTTGTAGTGCTGGTGTGTTTTAGTGCGATAGTAAAATACTGAAGGCTTTGTTCCAATTCCTCAGGACAGGTTCAGAAAGTAAGAAGTATTCACCCTTTCTCCATGCTTTTCCACTGCTAAATAATCCCAAACCTCCTCACTTTCTGCTCCCTGGTACTAGTCCCCTGACCAGGAGCTTTAAAACCACTTTATTCTTATATGGCCAGGGCATGCAGGCCCCCACATCATCAGGTGGACGAGCTCTGAAATGACACCTTTTACGCTAATTATACTTCTTTCAGAAAGCCATAAATTGCCTTTAATGTAAATAAGAATCAGATATAGAAATGCACAAAAAATTATCTTCATGGTTATTTAGGGCAAGCTTGTGATCCCAGAATTATTCCATTTTATGCCCTGCTGAAACCAGCAGGATAACTCAGGAACTAAGACATCGTCCGCTGCAGACTGCAGATCTAGAACCCAGCAGCAGACTGTCCACAAGCAGACCACATAGTGCCACCTGCAATGCCCATTCTTGTGGTGTGGCCAAGGGCCACCAAGCAGTGAAGGTTTCCACACTCCACCCTGCTCTCCTCTCTAAAGCAGATTAATATGAAATTGATAACTCAAATTATCAATGGCCAATGCTTTATTCTTCACAAGACAATAAAGATTGTTAAGGTGAAATGAGGTCTACCGTAGCTACTGTCTGCCATCAGAAAAACAGCACAAGTCATCAGAGTTCCGACTGCTGGTGCAGACCTATGGAGCTAAAGATGGACACGCGTAACAATTATGAAATACTTACGAAATAAGGACAGCGAAGGAGCGGCTAGCCCATGTGCTAATTCTGCTGGCTTCTACCACTACTGCAATAGCAGAATTTTTTTGAGAATTATTAGTCATTCTGCAATCCCTCAAATCGCTGCCATTACAGCAATCACGAGGATATTTCATTTATTTTGTAATTTAATGTTAACTACACACACCATGAACTTTCAACCACAAAATGGCAAATGTGACCTTTTTTACCGTTTCTTTTAGGACACGTATCTGATTAAGCTTATCCAAAACACTTGACTACATCATCATCATCACCACTGCAGGAAGACCAGAGATGGATAGGAGCACTTAGTTCCCAGGTGGGGAAGCTCAGACAGAACAATTTATCCCAAACCGAGGTAACCGGTCTCCAGCAGAGACCAGAATAAAACTCAGAGCTCCCTCATTTGCACCACGGAGGAGAAGTCTTAGCTGACACCGCCCGCACTGGCTCTTCGCTGACAGCATTTCAGCAGCTTGCATGAACATACACAGAGTCTCCCAGGTTTATCCCATGGACGTGCACATGCCAGCAACTCTGGTTCCAGAAAGGGACCTCAGATTTCAACACGCGGCTTTGAGCAGCTGGGCGTGCATGTCCTTAACCAACGCATTTACCAACATACCTGAAACGTCCTGTTCCTGTTATCCATGGAATTTGATGTTGATTTGGCAAAAATAGGACACAGGTACTGAGCAGTTCAATACTTTTGAAAATCATTTAGCATTTCATTCCTCTTTACCCGCGTTTTGCCTGTAGAGCAACCCCTTCCACAGAAGTGGCAAGAGAACACTCAGTGTTCCCAGCTACAGATTTGATCTGCAGCGCTCTTGCCTTCTGGCCCCTATCCCAAAGAACCCACATTTAACTGTAAGCACATGTGTTGTCCCACTAGCGTTAAGCCCAAGTTTAAGTGAGTTCTTGGAATGACGCTGTAGCCCTCAGCATCTTGCAGAGCTGACCTTGTGTTTATTGTTACTTACATACAGTTCTACCCCAACACCTCATGTTTTCTTCAGGAACCAAAATGTTCACTACGTTTCATGGATCATTCCAAAAAAATCTGAAAAGACAGACTGCCAGTGCTAAGCAGCAACTTGAAATGACATGGGGAAAACCCAGAAGAAATTGAAATTACTTGAAATATGAAGTTCAAATGAGAAACAAATACATATTTCTTTATATCCATAGACTGGTAAGGACAATGTATGAATTAGAATACAAACCCAATACATTTCACCAGTAACTACATTGCTCATAAAAGAATGAAGTTCAGAGGTATTGATGTCCTCCACTTAAATTAACCTCTACTTACCTTCCCGTAGCTCAGCAGGATTATCCTCACCAAGACAACGTTAATGTGAGCACCCAGGGACTCATCATGATAAATTTCATTAACCTGCAAAAAAGTTCAGCACGTTAGCCACGGCACTGGCAACCATAACTGCAAAAGCTGCGATACAGCAGTACCTTGCATGCACTGTCATTAAGCCAAGGATCACCTTGTGATCGTATATAAAATAGGGAAAATTCCACCAATGGAGAAGGAATGTTTTATTTTCTAATCTCTGTTGTAGCCTCCCGACAGGCCGTAATTCAGGAGATCATTTAAAATCAACACATCATCAGAGACTTCATATTAACAGGTATTTAAGTGCCAGCCCAAATGGACTTATACATATCATGGTGCACGGACTTGATGCCGCTGAGCTGACCAAACAGCCACTGTTGCTAAGAAGGAAGGTCCCCAGCTCCTCCCTACCTCATCCCAGCTGCGTGTGCCCGCTGGAGCCCCGAGCCCACTAATCCAAGCAAAATGCTGAACAGCTCTCTGCCGGGCAAGGGGATGGGTGAGCAAGGGGACAGGACCTCTCCCCCGAGAGCCCTTTGCTGGATTGGCTCCGCTGCACCCTGCAACTCCTCCATCTGGGAGCCATCACAGCGCACACTGACGAGAGGATACACCTCCCCCAAAAGCCATGCTCGGCCACATGGGCTGGCTTTAGTGTGTGTCAAAGCGAATCAACATTAAACTTTGCAAGCAGAACAAAAGCTACAAAATGCCAGCAAATTAAGAGCTGTTGTCTTTTTTTTTATACTAGAACGACACAACTGGACATGCACATGGGGAAATCACCCTAGGCACACTGAAAAGAAAACTAAAATATTTAGAGTAGAGAGCAAAATGTGGCTGCATAAAGATGACTTAGGAAACACAGTGACAAGTGGGCCAGGCAAATATTAACTGCTAAAGAGGCTGATTTAGGTATTTGGTGATGAAGCCTGCACGAGACTCAGCCGAACAGCAGGGGTTTAGCTTTACAAATTAGAAGAGGCAGCTGAGATGCCCTGCAAGACAGCCTTCTTCCCTTGGTAACGGTTGCACCAAACTGGACTGCTTTGCTGGCTGGACCTGAATTTCATTTATTCCTACAAAACAGATTCATTACTACAAGCTAACAAGTAACTTTCAGACAACCTTTAATTAGAAACACAGCACATGATGTCCTGTTTCTTCAATCAGCCCTAGTTTTAACGGCCCATCTTTTATCTCCGTAAAAATCATTAAAACTAAATACATCAGTGTAGGTTTTGCTAAGCAATCCCCATTGGCATTTTAAAGTCAATTTAAATTCATTTTATCAGTATTTTTGGATATAAGAGCCTAATTTTTTGTGTGGTAGAAGTCCAAGTTTTCCAAAGCCTTGAGCATCGTGCGCCGATGGCTGGGAGACAGCGTGGCGGAACCGCGGCTCCAGGAGCAGACTCGCTCCCCACAGGGCATCTGCCCGGGCACCCGGGAACGTGCTGCAGGATGCCCGGCATCCAGGCTCGTTACCGGTGGATGAGCAGATCCGTGGCTGGAAGGCGGTGGGTGCGGAGCCTGCAGCTGTGTCCGGCTTCGGGGGCCGTTACTGTCATTGCGGTGTGGAAGCCACTGATCTGTTCAGATCTGCTTTGTCAACAACTCCTCTGGAAATTAGATCACTTATTTACATGGCTAAATAAGACTTTAGAAGACTAACTTTATATTCCTGTATTTAAAAAAATCTTTCACTTTTACTTTGAGAGCTGTTACTGAGCACAGGTTATAAAGAGCTGAGACATAAACGTCCACTTTGCTTTACAAAAATTCTTTCACCCAGGAGAAAGCCCCTTGCATGTTGTCAGGGGAGGCAGGGATATTAACGGGCCTCGCTCTCTGCAGTGGGAAGAGAGCACACGCATCAAGGATGTGAAGCTGGAATAAGCTGTAAATTACCTATACATGAAATGAGGACTGAACACAACCTCCTGTATGTAGAGGACAGCAAGCACAGCATGTAAATAAGTATTTAATTAGTTCATAACGTATAATCCAAATTGCTGCACACCGCGCTCTCATTAACTTCCAGAATTTAACCTACGCCTCTTTTAACAATAGTTGAGTAACAGAACAACCCTATCGCTGCTGTGTGCCAAAGTAAAACTTGGCTTGGAAACTCTGATGGAACAGAACTGAAACACTGCTTGGCTGTTCATGCAAACGACGTCTAACAAACAAACCGGGAGTGAACGGGAAAGCACAAGCACTGGGAAAAGCTGCTTGTTCTTCTTGCCATACCAGGTTTTCTACAAGGCAGTGGGGCCATTCAAAGCTCTGGGTCTTGGTTTCGTTAATAAGGATGAGCCCAACCCCTCTTCACACAGCAGCTGAACTGAACGCCCTGCACCCTTCCCTAAGCTCAGCTGTGGCTGTACCAGTAGTGTCCTGCTGCACGTACATAATACGCTGAAATGGATGCTTTTCTTTTTTCTCAGCATGGCCTAAATCACACCTCTTTATTTCAGGAAGTTATTAAAGATACGAGATCCGAGTGGCTGCGTGTTGTGCTCTCCAATGCTCATGAGGAGTGCACCCACCAAAAGGGCCTCCACAACCCCTAGCTCAGTTATCCCAAATTTCCCCATTATTCACGCA